GTTGTGGTTCCGGAGTTTTAAAAACAGGAGAGTATGCTGCTCTTTAATTTATACGTTTTCCCATGGAGAACTTACCACTCAGTGAGTTTGTGTGTGCGTTTGGGTCACTGCATTTATGCAAGGACACCTTTATTAATAAACCTACCTGTGCGTGTGTGTGTGTGTGTGTGTGTGTGTGTGTGTGTGTGTGTGTGAAAGCCGGCGGGGGTGGCAGAGAGAGGGGGGATATTAGAGGAAGAGGATAAATGGCTCTTTGATACTCAGACTCTCTGTACTTTTCCTGAGCACTTTGATGTTCATATAGGCGGAATGAGAGAGCAAAAGACTTCAGATGAAGGAGGAGAGCAGAGAGATTTAATCAGAGCACACTCACATACTGTAAACACAACATCGGGACTCTTATTACAGTCACAGCAATCACTGTCTGTGTGTGTGTGTGTGTGTGTGTGTGTGTGCATGTGTGTGTATGTGTGTGCGCGTGCGTGTGTGTACGCGTGCGTGTGTGTGTGTGTGAGGCTGTAATGCACCATCCTTATGTGACCTTTCAGAGCAAGTCTGATGCTTTATGTGCCAAAACAGCCATATGCACACTGACCTGGCTATCTAAATGTGTACACTTTCGCATACATTTAAAATCAGTAATTACAGAAATAAAATACTTAAAAAATATATATATACACACTGAATGTAATGTTTGACAGTAACTGAATGTTAATTGCAAATAAATGAAAATGTAATATAGTTGAAATTTATATTAAATGCAATTAGCTTTTTTTAACCTATACTTAAGCAGGACTTTGGTATATCTTTATATGTAATTTCCTGATTACTTCGATTGTCTTTAGATATATAAATTGTGTTTCAAATACTGCCAAGCATTTATGGTGACTTAAAACATAATTTAATGTCATTTCTACTGAAACTTAAACGTATACACTTGTATTAACCGGTTATATGACTTTATATTGTTTGTTTTGTTTTATGTGCACTTTCATTTATTTCCCTTCACTGGAAGTCCATTTCACCAAAACTCGAATCATACTCAACTAAACTCATTTAAAAACGAATTCATGTGAATCAAGCATTTTTAATCCATTTCTTCTGAAGAGACACCATCACTTTAAATGATGAACAGATTTATTAATAGCTTTTATCACATATAAATATTGATCAGTGTGCATACATAGAGCAGCTGTAAAAAAAAAAAAGCTCAACTGTACTTGCTTGAAAATACACAAGATCCACGCTCACTGGATCTTGCACTGGCATGCAACAATAAGCCTTATTGGTTCTTGTGTATCAAGAACATATAATTGAACTTCTGTTTACCATGTTTGACGAGTTCTATATATGTATCTTATAGGTTTATAACAACATGAGGGTGAGTAAATAGTGCGTTTTTATAAGTATTAAAATTAGGCATGTAACTTGGACAGCTGCACAGGTGTTCTTTGCCCTCACACAAACCTTTTCATTATATCATTTATGTTTGGACACTTGATCACCCAAAAATGAACATTCTGTCATCAATTAGTCACCCACATGTTGTTCCAAACTTGTATAAAGTTATTTTTCTTCCATGGAAAACAAAAGAACATGCGAGTTTTAAAGTGAGTACATTTACATTTTTAGATGACCAATTGGTCACACTTTATTTTAAGGTCCAATTCTTGCCATTAACAAACCATTAATTATGACTTTTGCCTCAATAAACTCCTAATTTGCTGCGTATTAATAGTTAGTAAGGTAGTTGTTATAGTATGTATTAGGGATTAAATTGGGATGCAATTAGGGATGTAGAATATGGTCATGCAGAATATGTGCAGGCGAGAGAGAGAGAGAGTGGCCGGACTTACACCCAAATATAAAGCATTACAATAATCCAAATGCGATGAAACAAAGGCATGCAGAACTTTCTCCAAGTCTTTAAAAGAGAGGACAGACTTCAAAGACTACAGATTTTAGCCTAGGACTATAGGAATCTTTTAGGATTTTCAAAATTGGTCTCAGACGACCAAATCGTGGCCAAAGTCGCACAGTGTGAGCCGGGCTTCAGATACAGATCTAAGATGGGGAAAAAACTAAACTGTTTTTAACAACACTTCATGAACTGACTTCATACATCCACTGAAAATCACCAAAACACCAGCTGATTAAAAGCTGCTTAGCAACAATGAACAAAAGTGGAGTTAGTTCTGAGAACATGCAGATGACATTTTGATATGTTGTATCTAATGTAATGACATTGAGATATTTATAAGTGCACTTAAGTACTTTTTTGGCCATTGTATATATAAATTTAGTTCTAGCCTGAACAAATTATTCAAAGAGAGACGCCAAATCAATAATATGTCACTGACATGTTTATATTGTGCATATCTGCCAAAGTTTGAGTGGATATAAAATAAAAAATGTTATTGATAACACGTGTTTGTATTCATCTGCAGGTCCGTTGCTGTCTTAACAGAGTGCATGCGGAACAAAACAGTGGCAAAGTTTCTACGAGAGCGCCAGGAAAGTCTTAAACACTCCCTTCCTCTCGGCTCCTACCTGCTTAAACCTGTCCAGAGGATCCTAAAGTATCATCTACTTCTGCATGTAAGTACACAAACACCCATAATGACCTTCCTAAACACACACAGACCCTAGACATAGTACACTTGTACACAAAGACTGCCCACACACACACACACACACACACACACACACACACACACACATACACACACACACACAGATGATTGTGGCAGTGATCTGAGATCACAGATGTACTGGTGTTTTGCAGGAGATCGCCACTCATCTGGAGAAGGATTCAGAGATGTATGATGTAATCCAGGAGGCCATTGACACCATGCAGAGGGTTGCCTGGCACATCAATGACATGAAGAGAAAACACGAGCATGCAGTTAGACTGCAGGTTTGTGTATCCTACACACACACACACACTCATATACACACTATGCACCATATAGAGTAGTATATCAGTTACTTCACAAGAATACATGAAGCTAAACTGACCTGGGCTACTTTCTCCAAAGAACTGTAAGCCTAGGTAAATCATAGATTTGCCAATTGCTTCTACCATCTATTTAGGCATAGAAAAAGGGGAGTCATACAGTTGTTTAGAAAATAGTAGCCGTTTTTTGCTGTAGATGGTCTTCAACAGGGGTGTCCAATTCTCCTCCTGAAGGACAATGTTCCTGTAGATTAAACACCTAAACCAGCTAATCAGGGTCTTCAGGATTCCTAAACTTCCAGGTAAATGTGTTGGAGCAAGTTGGAACTAAATACTGCAGGAAAGGGGCCTTCCTGGAGCATGATTGGACACCCCTGGTCTACTATGACAGCACCACACAAGGCCACCAGCCAGTAGTTCAGTCGATCAAACATTGAGAATTGGTCCTTGAAAGGAAATGACCATCCTGGACCAAGTAAAATCCACTACCAACTACTTTAATTTGATTTTGGCTACAGGGTGCATGCTTTTTTATGGATGGGTGTGTGGTAACAGATAGTAGAACATTATGTTTGAGACTCATCAGACATAAACGTCATTCCCAACTTGCCCTTCGGCTAAGTTACCTGATGTACGTGAAGAGTGACGCTCCTCCTCTTCTGCTCTCACCTTCTCTCTTTCAGGAGATTCAGAGTTTGCTGACTAACTGGAAGGGGCCTGATCTGATTGGCTATGGCGAGCTGGTTCTTGAGGGAACATTCCGTATCCAGAGAGCGAAAAATGAAAGAACACTGTTCCTGTTCGACAAACTTCTGCTGATCACCAAGAAACGCGAGGAGACTTACACCTACAAAGCCCATATCCTGGTGAGAGTCCATATACCTACTAGTTTCCCATTCTGGACAATCAGGTCAAGGTGGTCAAGCTGGTGTTTCGGACATGGTAGCTTTCATTTTTGCTGGTAGTTAGACTTTTCCAAAGTGGTCTACCAAGTCACCCTTGTCCTCACCAGCTGGTCATAATGCATTTCTCATTGACACTTGTTTCCGGAGTATGCCATTCGGGGAGCAGCTAGCATTCTTCACATCTCTTGCTATGTAGCCATGGCAAACACAAGCGACGGTCTATGCGTGTTAAGTTTGGTGGAAAATCCAAAGGCACAAATGAGTCATTATGCAGCTACTGTAGTAAACAGCTTTGGATAGTACTCACAATAAAGATGCAAATATACCGTGGTTTGAACCCTAATAGTACAGTGTGAAAATAGACCTGCGGGGGATGTGGAATTAAACTCTGATTCTGATCGAGCAGTTAATCCAATTGTGAAAACAACCTATTTTACAAGTTTGTGCAGCTCGAAAAATAACTTGCTTTTGTTAAGCATTTGCAGCAGTGTGCACTTTAAGAAAAAAAAAACCTTTTGAAAAAACTGGACCCTCAAAGGGAAACCTCTGTACCTTATTTACCCCGGAAGTCTTCTTAATAGTACCATAAGGGCACACATTACTATCTTAAGGGTACATACTATTACTACTCAAAGGTACTAGTATGCAAGCTTTAGGGGTAAAGTAAGTCACAAAGGTGTACTGCCTCGGTGGCAAGTTGTTGTAGCCCTAAGCATACTATTTTACACATATTTCTGACAGTGTGTAAGTGAAATGTGCATAAATTGTTATTGCTCAATAAAATGTTTGGAACTATAAATGACAGTGATCTCTTTAATCTATAATCTGTTTCTCTAAATTTTTCCAGTGCTGTAATTTAATGTTGGTAGAAGTCATTCCTAAAGAGCCCCTAAGCTTCACCGTGTTTCACTACAAGAACCCCAAACTTCAACACACTGTGCAGGTAATATTTCAAGCTTTCTCACACACGCACACAAACAGCATGTAACCAAAGATCAGCAGGTTGTGTTAAACACACAGTGGAATGTCCAGCCTGAGGCCAGGCTTCTGATGGACAGTCAATCGCCTTGAACTTTACCCTAGTAAAACCACACCCCGTTACCTACAGGCTTCAGCATGTATGAATATACGCACACAAAAGTGAGTGTGCGAGTGATGGTACGAGTCTCGCCTAAAGCCAGTGCTGGTACATCTGACCTTTATGTTGGACCTCAGCCGAGTAGTCATACATATGATGCAGTATGTGCTACAGAGGCCTGAATTGACTGAACGCTTGTAAATCACCTTGCCTCCTTATTATTGAATGGCTCACCGTTAATTCAGCTGCTAATACATACCTGGTCATATGTACTCCATGACTTCATAACCTCTTAGGGGTTAGTACATCCATCCATCTATCCAACCATCAATCTGTCCCTCTATTGATATTTTTTCACAGCATTACAGTAATAAAAAATGTAGAGATTTAGCCTGAAAAATGAATCCTCACAGCAGGATGTTGGGTTTTGCTGTCTCTGAAATGAACCATGTATAAGTGCGTCACTGCTGAGTAGCGGTTCCAGTCAACCACTTCTGTATGTGTTAGTTACTGATTTTGCTAACGTTCACCCAGTTGACAAAAGTGTTTGTTTTGATTTTGACGACTGGTGTTGATGTTCTTTGATAGTGGGATGACTCGGTCATGGTAGTTTCAAAGGTGTGTCGGTAAATGATCTTAAACGTGCAGATTGTGCTGATATGTCTCTAATCCACTTTTAGGCGAAGTCTCAACAGGACAAGAAAATGTGGGTCCTGCATCTAAAACGGCTGATCCTTGAAAACCATCCTGCCAAAATACCAGCCAAGGTTAGAACGTGCACATACGCACATTGCTCTGCTTCTGTACAATGCACTCTGTTATTAGGGAGCTCTGGCTGAATCTGGCTATTCACACTCAACTGTGTCATGATAAAGTAGTTCACTCAAGAGAGAATAAAAGAACTTCAAAGGTGGAGCAAAAATGTCTGTACTTACAGAAGAGAAGACATAGTGCCACCCAGAGGCCATTTAGTCAAAATTACATTTTTCACAGAAAAAGATCATTTAAATGGTTTGATTAATTTCAAGCGCTTTAAGTTTTTCTTCTATGTGCATTTAATTTACCTTAATAAGGTAAATCATATGTAAATTGGTCTGAATCATATTTTGCCTCAATTTAAAAAAGCATTAGCATTAAAAAAAATGAAGGCTTTTTCCCCTTTTTTTTGCATTGACATTTTTTTTTCATTATCACTGCAATACAATAACTAACCCCATTTTATCTTAATAGTTTAATTCATGAAATGAATCATGTCTAATTTAATATAAAAAAAATACTGGATAAAAATACAATATTCTTTTTATTAAAAATGTGTATAAATTAATGTTAGTTCATGAAATACTATTATAGTAAACACAAATACTGTAAGTACTAAAAGTTACATTTCTGTCTCTGCAGGCTAAGCAGGCCATTCTGGAGATGGATACTGCAAGTAAGCATTATCTTAACTTCAAACTGAAAGCTACACAGCAATATATTTAGCACTTTCTGTGTGTTTACGAAGATTATATTTCAGACACTATTCTTAATTTTTCAGACCACCCAAGTTTTAACTACAACTCTGATGACAAGAGAGTGAACACTAAAGAGGGTCCTTCGCCCCGGAGAGTACGCAGGAAGACAGGTGAGACCCATAGCAAATAGAACAAACAAACACATTTTCACTGGTCATGTTTACTAATTATTTTTGTCTCTCCCTCTGTCTTGCTGTTTCATCAGAGCCCTTATCCAAGTTATTGAAAAACTCCAAACATATAAGTAAGTAGCATTCATATAAAAAGACATATGCTAAAATAATATTCATCTTTTAAACATTGTGGCATTTTTTTCTTTCTCTCTTCCTTATTGTTGATGTAGTATCCAGTCCAGATATTCCGAAGGTAAAGAACACCACCCATAGCATGCAAGCATTAATCCATTATACAAATCTGATGAAAAATCTTTAAAAAGTAAATAAAAAATATATTTGCTCCTCACAGCGTTCTAGTTTGGGAGTCACTCTGCTGTCACCTGTTGCCCATTTGGGTACTATTGGCCGATCCCGTAGCCTTGTCAGCGAATCACAGGAATCTCTGGACCCTGGTGACCACAGTGATGTTGATGACGAGCCACACGCATGCTGGGAACTGGAGAGGAACCTTCCTTCCGCAACATATGGACAGACCACCGAGTCCGGAGGGCTATGTTTCCAACTCGTCAAAAGAGTTTTCAAATTGATGATGATGAAGACATCTATCAGATGTTCCAGCCAACGGAGAATGATATGAGCAGTCATGATGCCGAGAGTGACCATGAGACTGCTGACCATCCAGAAAGACCCTGTAGCTGGCATGTTGAACAAACTAGACCATCACGGCTAGACCTCCCCACAAGCAGGAGCAGAATACTTCGTAGGGCCAGCAGTGTTGGAGAAAACCAAAGTGAGCAACAAAGCCCTACCAAGCGAGCCCTACAAGAAGAAGAGACCACCAACCAGACTGAGTCTTCAAGCAATGAAATCTCAGGGTCATCTTCTGCCGAGCAGTTAACAATTGATGATATCGAGAATGTTTATGACAACATTAGTTACGAGGAGCTTCAGGCCATGGGGCTTATCCGCAAGGATCAAGTTAACCATGGAGACTCTGAGGAATCGGAGGTCAAATCTAGGATAGCACCACAAGTTATAATAACTCCAACTGAAACCGAGAGTTCATGTGAGAGCAATAGGTCTTCTGGTCAAGGCGGAGAGCAACTTGAGACGTGTGAACTGCAAATTGTTGAGGATGAGGAGAATGTCTATGATACCATTGTCTTCCAGGAGCCCCCAGTCCTCGCAGTTGTGATGGATCAGGGAAAACCAGAGAGTTTGAAGACATCTGAAGTAGACCTCATGGCTAGCCAGATTTTAGGAGGGTTTGCATCTGAGGAAAAGCTCTGTCCTACAAATAAGACAGAGGTTGAACAGCCTCCCATTTCCTCTGCTGCAATTTCCGACACTGAAGCATCTCAGCTTTCCACAGCTGATCATTCATTAGAGCAAGTGGAAGAGATCTGGACCGATTTGGAAAACTACATCCGGAACAATGAAAAGAAGCCAGATAGACTTCCAGCTGCATTTCCTGTAAGTGGAACGGACACTGCATCTCCCAAAAAAGTACATGATACCCCACGCAAAGCACAAGACTCTCCACGAAAAACACATAACTCCCCAAGTAAAGGGAACAGGCTGCAACAAAGAGCTAGTGATTCCCAATGCAAAGCACAAGAATCTCCAAGTAAGAAAGCCAATTCTGCACATAAGACAAATGATTCTCCATGTAAATTACCCTTAAAAACGGTCCCTGTTTGTGCTGCATCTGGGTCACCCAACCCACCAGCCTCTAACCCCTCTCCAGCTCCCCAGATCCCTATCCTCAACATTCCCGAAATTGTAGAATCTAGGTTAGATGAGAAAGACGAAGCCTCTTCTCCTGCAGCACCTTCCCTTCCACTCCCTCCTACCCCTGAGCCTCAACCTGGTACAGTCAAGAGCATCCGCAAGAAACTTGCAAGATTAAGCAGTGGAAGCTTCAGGATGGATGATGAGGATATCCCTTCACCAAAGGACTCAGAGCTTCAGACCCTGTTTAGTAGCATGGACTCTGGCTCCTCTAGTATGCTGCTGAGCGTGGAAGCTGGGGACCAGTTTCTTGAGCTTGGGGAGAAGGGCAAGAACAGAGTGTTCCTCATGGCTAGACAGTACAGTCAGAAGATCAAAAAGACCAACCAGTTACTGAAAATGAAAAGCATGGACCATGAATCCAGTTGTGCTAAGCCAAGGCTAGGCAAACAGAAAGACCTGGCAGCCATACTGGAGGAGAAGAAACAAGGTGGCACTGCAATAGGTAAGACATACTTGTGTGGCAAATGTTATTATATTCTTTGTTCTACAATGTGTTATTCATAAAGATTAAACATATGATATATTGGTTTATGAATGCCTCTGTCTTCCTTCTGCTTAGGTGCAAGAATAGCAGAGTACTCTCATCTGTATGAACAGGTGGTTTTTAAAGGTTCTCCATCCACTACGCCAATGCTGAAGTCCTCTATCAGTATTGCCGGCCACCATCCACTTTTCCCCAGCACCACATCCTCCCCTTCCCTATCTGAGAGCTCTACCCAAGAGTCTGACTGGTTGAGCTGCACACACAGTAATGGAGAACTTGCTGATTTTGTGTCTTGGCCAGCAGAAAAAACAGTATGCACTTCAACCCCACAGAGAGGACTGGCACCCGCAAGTTCTACTCCTGCTTTGAAGAACCTCCCTCCTACTCCGAGTACTCCACCCAATCAGCGTTGGAGTGCTTGTGTGACACCAATTAAAGATGACTCTGATCACATTTACTCTTCAGTTGGACCACGCAATGCCAAGGTGTCACCCCATAATCGCTGTCAGTCCTCATCTTCACTGATAGACCAGACCGGAATAGAGAATGGCAGGGATCCAAGTAATCAGGTGTGGGAGGTGAACCCAATCGAATCAAGGACACGCATGTCACGGCAGCACAGCCTTCCAGATTGCCCCAACCAAGGGACTTCAGACCTCTCAGTGCCATGTGATATCACACTGAGGGACTCACAGCAAATACTTGTGCTCAACAAAAAGGTGCCACTGAACGCGCAAAGTGCCACTGAGAATTATCTGGCCAACTTTAAAGACACTGGAGATGATGATGACGACTATGTAGAGATCCGTTCTGAAGATGAGGGTGAGGACCAGAAGCAGGAAACTGCTCAGCCGCACAATCTGTCTGGAACTGCAGTAAAGTACTGCAACCCGCCTCAAGGCAGCATGCAAACCCTCGTAAAAGGACAGCAGGTTTCCAGTAACCCTGAGATGGCTCTGCAGGGATACTTGTGGAATGATCCGGATTGCAGCCAGCAAGGTGTGAATCAGCCCACTATTGTCCAGTCACTGAGGGAAAAGTTCCAGTGTCTCAGCTCAAGCAGTTTTGCATAGGAAGCAGCAAAGATGGACAACATGCCACATACTCAGCACACAGGAAGAAAGAAGACACAACAAACGTAAACTTCCACATGGAACATGTTACACAACTTAAAGACACAACACAAAGCACAAGACATACTACATTTTAACTCTAATTCATTGTACTTTACAGAGCTTAATGCACTCAACAACATACGATTTGTAAATTATGGATTCAGCATTACTCTGCTCATCTCTACAATTGAATTCAGTTAAACGCGGTGGTTATATAGCCAAGCAGAACACTTCACACAACATCTTTCAAATGATTTATCTTATCTCTCTTTTTCTTAATATGAAGAGCCAATAATTATATCACATGAAAAGTCATGTACATGTCAGAACATGTTTTAAGAAAATGAAAGAAACACATTGGCTACATGGGCTTGAATATTGCGTATATTTATTATGTATATATGAATACACACACATACAGCATATATTTTGAAAATATTTATATGTATTTTCTTAAATCTTAAATGTTTGCTTTTTTTGTATAGGCAGCACCTTTTTTGACCATTTATACAACCCCTGGCAAAAATTATGGAATCGTCACACTTAGATGATGTTCACTGTCACGGCCAGCTCGTTCCCGACCGTCACATAAAGAGGTCCACACATACAAAACGAGTTGTTTGACTTGCAAGATTATTTATTCGGTAGAAAATGATCTGTTACAGAAAGAATATCAGTCCAATGGGCAAGAAATGTTGATAAATAGTAACCAACAAGAAAACAAGTTGGGAGCAAGTGACTCCTCGGAAGAACTGGGTTCTCCCAGAGGAAGTACTGTTGGACAGTTCAGCCAAACATGTATACTCTCCACCCATGAGTTATCCAATTAACAGTGAAGTCACATTCTGATGTTATCCTGCCACCATCAGCTAAAGAAGGAAAAGACGGGGTCATAACACCTCCCTGCCCAAAAAGATTCTGCAAAGAATCAAAGAGAGAATGAGAGAGAAAAACATAAAAGCAACATATGAAGGAACAATACAAGAAGGTCAAAGATATAGTCCCTCGATCCATGAAGCAGCTCTCACTCCACCTCATCTCTCAGCACCTCTGGGCCCTAGAAATGCAAAAAGAAGAAAAGGGAGAGAAAACATGCAACAGTGATATCATGTTACATTCTAGAAAGAGTGTCAGCTATTATGTTATCCATCCCTCGTATATGCTTAATTTCCAGGTGGAACGGCTGTAAAATAAGACTCCACCGCATAAGTCGTTGATTTCGATTCCTCATCCGATTTAGAAAAACTAGAGGGTTATGATCTGTATGAACTATAATTGGGGCAGCGATTGAACCCAAATATACCTCAAAATGTTGTACCGCTAGTACAAGGGTAAGGGCTTCCTTTTCAATAGTGGAGTAAACCCGCTGATGACGGTTGAACTTCTTTGAAAAATAACTAACAGGATGTTCAACTCCGTTTGAATCTTCTTGCACGAGAACAGCGCCTGCTCCGCAAGCGCTAGCATCAATTTCAAGACTAAAAGACTTCTCGAAATTTGGAGCGTTCAAAATAGGGGCATTTGCCAATGAAGCTTTACAATTTTCGAAAGCTTGCTGACATGTCTCAGACCACTGAAAAACAACCTTCGGGCTCAATAAATCAGTCAAAGGAGAAACCACGCTGGCAAAAACTCCGATAATAACCTACTATTCCGAGAAATCTACGTAACTCACGTCGGTTGGTAGGAATAGGAAAACTATGGCTTCTACGTTAGCACCAATGGGGTATACGTGACCGTTTCCAACGATTTTACCCAAGTATGTAACAGTCGCTTTTCCAAACTCAGACTTAGCAAGGTTGATGGTCAAATTAGCCTCCGCTAGACGTAAAAATAAGTCTTTTATTTGGTTAAGATGTTCAGACCAGGAAGAACTGTACAGGTATGCCTCACAGTAGGGCTGGACGATATGGCCAAAATTTATATCACGATATATTTCTTAATTTCGGTCGATACGATATAATTCCGATATCGATATGAACACTATTTATCTGAAATAGAAATATTTTGTAACATTATAAATGCCTTTATCATCACTTTTGATCAATTTTAAGCATCCTTGCTAAATAAAATGATTAATTTCTATAATTTCTTTCCCAAAAAAAATGTATAAACATTATACTGAATGGTCTAGTGTATAATGTTACAAAAGCTTTTTATTTCAGATAAATGCTGATCTTTGGATCTTTCTATTCATCAAAGAATCCTGAAAAAAAAATGTACTCAACTGTTTTAAATATTGATAATCAGCAAATCAGCATATTATTATGATTTCTGAAGGATCATGTGACACTGAAGACTGGAGGAATGCTGCTGAAAATTCAGCTATGCATGATCACAGGAATAAATTACATTTGAAAATCTATTCAAAATAGAAAGCAATTTTAAATAGTAAAAATATTTCAAAATTTTACTGTTTTTGCTGCACTTTGGATCAAATAAATGCAGGCTTGTTGAGCAGAAGAAAAAAATAAAAATACAACAACATTAAAAATCTTACTGTTCAAAAACTTTTGACTGGTAGCGTAGGCTGATTATTCTTATAGATTGAAACAAATGTGCTTCAGCCAGAAAAAAGGTCGCTGCAGAAAACAAAAAAAATTGAACAATAACAAAAACTGGAAATGTTGCTGGAGACCAAGGTTATTATAGTTTAGCATTTTTAAATGAGTTTTATTTTAATATCATTTGCAAATTTGCAATAAAATGTAGTTTCGTTTTTATTAGTTTCATTAATAATTTTGTTAGTTTTAGTTTAGTTTTTATTTTGTGATCACATTTCTGTTTAGTTTTTATATAGTTTAGTTTCAGTTTTAGTTTTAGTAATTAAAGTTTATTAGATTTAACAGATCACTTCCAGAGCGCAGGCCAAAGAAAGACTTAGGCTAATTTAA